AACTGCTTGGTAAGCGACTATCTTACAGGCATTGCATTATTCTAAATCATACAAAAATGGTTTTCACTTATGTTCCTACCAGTTCTGTTCTTTTAAAATTTTACCACTTCTGTCTTCCTTGGAGTTGAGCTCAATTGATATAGTTTAAACTTAAATCTGTGCTTCCGATTTGAACAAGCATTAGACCTTAATGATCCCGTAAGTCTTTCTTCTGCTTCTAGGCTGCTTGGCCATTTGAGTCCAACTCCTGAACCAGTGTTCTCAAAGCAGTACAAACACGTTTTGATTTTTAAATTTTGAGTACACTCTTGAGGTAGGAATAAAGTCTGTACCATTAGAAGAATTTTTTGCAAGATGCCATTTCTTTCACAACCTTCTAGGCTATATATAACCTTGACCACCTTGGCCCCTATAGAATCAGTTGGCTTTCTTTTTCACTAAATTTCTAGTAAAGACTACCGAATTACAATGACCTCTTTGGGGCTACTGAGGCACCCAAACAAGTCTACCTAAGAGAAGCCTGAGAACAAAAGCTCCAGGTACACAAGGTTCTCTTCATTCCCTGGCATGAGTTAAATCTAGAAGTAGCTCAACCTCTGATCCTTTCCTACTCCTCAGGAGTTCTCCAGTTCTTATCACTGCATTGGTTAAGTGGTCAGCTCTCACACTATAGTCATCCAGGTTCCCACCAGCATTTATCTCATTAGCAGAAACTCAGCTGCTTAGTTACCATTCTATTGCTGTGAAGAGACACTGTGACCAAGGCAGCTTATAGAAGAAAGCATTTAATTGAGGGGCTAGCTTACAGCTTCCAAGAGTTAGTCCATTATCATCATGGCTGAGAAGTGTGGTGGCAGGCAGGCAGGCATGGCGCTGGAGAATTAGGTGACAGTACATTCTGATCCTCAGGTAGCAGACAATGAGAGAGACAGCTGGCATGTCTCTTTTGAAACCTTAAAGCTCGTGCCCAGTGTCACAACTGTTCCAAACAAGGCTCCACTTCTTTCAAAAGGCTACTTTCTAATCATTCTCGAACAGTTCCACTCCCTAGTGAGTAAGCATATATGATTCTATAGGTCCATTCTCATTCAAACCACTACATCAACTATGAACAAAACTCATTTGTGATAGATGAAAAATTAGTGACGCTAGTTGTGAGGCAGGAAGGCACTATCCTGACAGGAGCAGGTGAGAGGGCTTCAGTGAGGCGAATGTTAGGCATCATGATGTGTGGGTCATGGTTATATTGGTACATACACGAAAGATTAAGCAATAAACTTAATGCTTGGTAAACAAATTTATAAACTTAGAGAACATTAAGAGAAAACAGAATAAGAATAGAAGCATGGCCGGACGGTGGTGGCGCACGCCTTTAATCCCAGCACTCAGGAGGCAGAGCCAGGTGGATCTCTGTGAGTTCAGGGCCAGCCTGGGCTACCAAGTGAGTTCCAGGACAGCCAGAGCTACACAGAGAAACCCTGTCTCGAAAAATCAAAAAAAAAAAAAAAAGAATAGAAGAATAACTTTTTCCACTGCTGAGGAAAAATAAAGACAAATCATTCTATAAGTAAGAAAAATAGAAAAGATAATCATAGTTACTACAAAGTATATTACAAACTGGCAAGAAGGAACGTGAAAACTACTTTAGCATATACATATGAGACCAAACAGCCTAAGGTAAGCAAAACAAAATAGCAGACTGTGTCAAAAACAAGAAAAAGAGTAAATCCATATAATGACTTCCTCTCACTGCTATTTCACGTATTTCAACACATCCTTCCCATGCGGGCAAAAGCAAAAACAAGATTAAAAAAAAAAATGAGGCCGAACTCTGTCATCTTATTAATAAACTTTTTATATACACGTCGTTCTAAATCTTTAAACTAATTTCATTTCCCAGAGTTTTGTGTTTATTTGCTTTTGAAAATCGTTTTGGTCACTAGGCTTGGAATGCCTTTGGAATTCTTCTCATTAAAAGCAATGGAACTTTATTTTTCCCTTCCCCTAACGGCTCCTTACTCAGCCGCGCTTCAGGGAGGGAGCCCCAGACGGGCAGCCCCAGGGCCCGCTGAGTGGGTCTGCGGAGGCCACAAACCAGTTTCCGCATCCCCGCGACACCCGCTTGAGGTGCGGAGCTGCCGACCAATCACAGCCAGGAGCCGCCCGTGGCTGAGGGGCCGCCCGGCCCATCCTTCCGCCCTCCCGCCTGCGCACAGCGCCACCCGACCGGTAGGAGGCGGTCTCGACCAGCCGGGGAGTTCCGTGCCTCGCCGCGTCTCGCTCCGTGTCTCCACAGCCCTCGCCACAGCCCTCGCCACCGCCGACATGGTGGAAGCCGACCGTCCAGGGAAGCTCTTCATCGGAGGCCTCAACCTCGAAACCGACGAGAAAGCCCTCGAGGCGGCGTTCGGCAAGTATGGCCGCATCATCGAGGTGCTCCTGATGAAGGACAGGGAAACCTCCAAGTCCAGAGGCTTCGCCTTCGTCACCTTCGAGAACCCCGCGGACGCCAAGGCCGCCTCCCGAGACATGAATGGCAAGTCCCTGGATGGTAAGGCCATCAAGGTGGCCCAGGCCACCAAGCCGGTGTTCGAGAGCAGCCGGCGCGGG